AAAGGATTCGTGCCGTCGGTTAATAGGTCGAGGTTTACCGGCAATCGATAGGCGGGACGTGAAAAACGTCTTGCTAGGCGACGGTAATAATCGAACGGTAAATTCCAACGGTGCGAGCGTCGGGATAGTTTTCAAGTGGCTTCCAGGGTACCTTCGGCAAGTTACGTCACAGAGGCCCCCGAGGAAAAACGACGAGGTCGCCTGCTACCGTGACACCATGAATAAGCAGATTCCGCGGCGCTTGCCGAGAAACCCAGGAATGTGTTTACAATATCGCTTTCGTCGACAACGCGACGGGAATAGAAACGAGCGAGGAGGCCGCGGCGCGAAAAGGAAGTTCGCGCGAATCACTTTCGTTCGGCTTTCTTCTCGATTTCGATCGAAATTTTTTCGCGCTCGGCCGAACGCGCCAGGTCGCGCCTAAACGCGCGCGCAGCTCGTCCGTTCGGTAGAAAGTCCAGTTTCGAAAACACGTGCGGCAAATTGCTATGCGAGCCGCGTCCGCCGCAGACCCGGCTCGTCGTAATCCCTTTTTCTCTGCCCCGAAATCAAAATGCGGGGAGCGGCGAGCGAGAGACCGTCCCGCGTAGAATGCCAAATATCATCGATACATATCGAACGGCGAGCGAGACGATCGGACGTCGATCGTACCGTAATCGTAGTCGACGCGCGATAGCGTCTTATAAAACAAAAAGGTACGATACATTAGGTGTGCAGATTAATTCGGTGCCTTTACACTTGACGTCTTGTAACTCTGGTTCAAACTAAACGAAGTGCCAACTTTAAGCTTCATAATAGTTGACGGCCCTGCCGACATAACCTCACAAAATAGCAGTGAACACGATGGCTGTCGAGTAGCAGCACTGCATTCTTTTGGCATTTCAATCGAAAGAAAATACTGCTGAAGCTACGGAGATCATTTGTTCCGCTCTGGGTAAAGACGCTGTGACGCTGTATAAAATGTGCAAAAAATGCTACCAGATCTTTCGGATCGAGAACGTCCAAGCCAACCAAAAAGTTTGAAGACGGAGAAATCGAGCAACTATTAAGTGAAAACTCCGCTCAAACTCAACAGGAGTTTGCACTGCAACTGAGAGTTACGCCACCAATGCATATCCCATCGTCTGCTTCAACTCGGAAAAATTCAAAAAGAAGGTAGATCGATTCCGCATAACCTCAGTCCGGGAAACAAACAGCAAAGATTCGACACGGCCGTGTCTTTGCTGACTCGGTCTAAAAAAAAAGATTTTTTATACAAAATCATTACGAATAACGAAAAGTGGATATTGTATGACAACCCTAAAGAATCGTAGGTAGATCCTGGTCAACCGTCGACATCAACGCCGAAGCCCGGCGGATATTCCCGCAAGAAAAATTTCGCTGTGCATCTGATGGGATATGAAGGGTGTGGTCTACCATGAGTTGCTGAATCTTGGCCAGACTATTGATGCAGACTATATTACCAACAGCAAATTGTCCGTTTAAGCGATACTTTGGAGCAAAAGAAGCTTTATACTGGCGACGGAAGTAGGCAAGTGATTTCGCAGCACGACAACGCTCGACCACATGCCGCAAAAGGGACAAAGGATCGCGTTTATACATTGGGCTAGGAGATTCTTCCTCATGCGGCTTATTCGCCAGATCTAGCCTCGTTGCCTCGGACTGCCTCCTATTTCGGTCGCTTCAACATCATCTGGCGGCTACGCATTTTCAAACAGTTGACGAGATCCGAGAAAGCATTGATGACCTTATTGAATCAAAACCGTCAAGTTTTTTCCGCGAAGGCATTCATCAGCTGCCCGAGATAGGTGAAGTAAAGTCATAGAAAATAATGGAAATTATTTCGAGCATTAAGCTCGTACTTGACGTTTTGTAAAGAAACTTTGAATTTCCTGAAAAGAGGCACCGAATTAATTTGCACTGAACGCTCTGCCGACAAAACTCACAGGACGGAGATTCTATGTTGGGAGAAATGAAGAAAAAAGTCTCGGAAAACACACGTCCGCAGAAGCTTGACAAAGAGAGTGCCTTTGAGCAAGGAACAGAGGACACAGAGGACGCGTCGTTGTACCTCAAAGCGGTGTAAGATTTCTCCGCGGCAGTATTGAGAGAGGAAGAGAGCGTATCTCACGCGTGTTATTCTTTGAATCGATGAATAACTGCGCAAATATGCCTTATCAGTTGACTACGCTGATATTCGTGGCTATCGCCGATATGTAACTGTGACTCGTTTTACAAACCTTTTGTTATCTACGGAAGTAATAAAACTTCTTTGAAACAGTTTTCCGACTAGATCTGATTCAGTCAGTTGACATATGGAACTTCTTTACATAACAGGCTGAAATTTTTCTTCGCTCAAAAGCGTTAAATTCAAGCGAAAGCACATCTGCTCCTTTCTAACACGCGTTTCGTTATTACAGAAGAAGCAAAAAAGAAATTTAAAAATCTCTCACGACATAACAAGAGAAAAAGTAGAAAAGTTACTTATTCGGGATATAAAAACGCCTCCGGACAATTATTTCAAAGCAATTTTATCACCACGTTTGATAGAGAAGGAGCTGTTACCTTGGCGCGCGTACTCGCAGGATGGCGGGACATTTTCTATTGTGACAAAGCACACAGCACGTGTGCTTCGGCCTCTCCGGCGGAGTTTTTTCGATTCTACGCACAGCCGCGTTTTCCACACATCGAAAGCGCGGCGAAACGAGTCTTGCTCTCGACGTTCCTCATTCCCAGTCTGGAAGGGAGAGACACACGTGTCGCCGTACGTCTAGGGAAGGACGAGAGGCGAGATCTGAAACAAAGGATCCAGATGGTGCGAGGAGAAGAAACGGGCGGGGGGGAGGGGGAAGGAGCGGGGGAGAACGCGGCAACCATCTTCCTGGTCCATAATTTAAAGCGCGAACCCGCTCCTACGGCCGCGTACAGCCCGGCACGCGAATAACAGTTCGGCAATGCCGACCTCGCGCAATTCTCGCGAGCGCCACATATCGCTCCTCGTGAGAAATTTTTTATCTTCTACGACCGTACGCAGATGCTTCTGCAGTAAGGATGGGCGACTCATCGGAAATCGATGTTTAAAATATTGATTAATAAAAAAAGATTGAAGCGATATCGATTATTTTCTAAAAAAGAATCGGTTTACCGATTAATCGATTAAATTTGCAAAGTAAACATTTAAATCAGCAGCAGATTAAATACTGCTAGGGGTGCGTTCGGAAACATCACTCGGATGCTCTCCTTGCTTACATGTTGGATGCGTTCTTAAATTCGCGACGGATGTAACCGGCGTTATTCAGTCCTTATTTTATACTGAATGTTAAACAAGGATGGAATGACGCCCGCAGTATTCTCAGTGTTAGTAGAAATCCTCCTAAAGGATCTTGCACGCTGGACGCGACGTGCTATGAGCGATATCTAATGAGAGTTCAGTTTCATGGAGAAAGAGCTTTTGTTTTTTCGTTAAAACAGAACTTTCATTAGATATCGCTTATTGTTCGTCGCTAATCGCGTCAGTGATGTGCGAGGCCTTTAATTCGGCATCTCATTTGATACATTTTCCATATGATAAGAGAACTAACTTTAGGAAAATAAGCGCTCTTATATTGGGCCATTCGTTATTGGGCAACGTTCCGAAACTTATCAATAAAAGCCGGACAACCCTATTGTCCATGAGTGTACAATAGATGTAGTAAACCTTAAGAAATTAGCCAATCCCAACCTACTTTTACAAGAATAATTGATCGTAGTTGGACAATTAATCTTAAGACTTAAAACTTTACTATATCTATTGTAGATTCGGATTTAACGTTCATAAATTTCGTTTACCGTATCTGAAAGACGATATTACAAAACTCCTTTATTAAAAAAAAAAATAAAAATCGGCTGCTGATGTTAAAAAAAAAGGTCATCGGTTAATTGAAAACAAACTATCAGTTCTTTCGATTAATCGATGAAAATCGCCCATCCCTATTCTCCGCGTGTCCGCGGAAATACATCTTTCTCAATTGTCGCGCGCAAAGTTAACCTCTCGGCCGGAAGAGAGCCGGTGGGCGACAATCTTACAACATTTTATGCAAGAATCAACGCGGTCCCTTGCCGCCGAAGCGATCGAAATGGCGCAAAAATGTTGACTCTCGTGTCTCCTCGTTCGCGCGGCGCTGTGCAAATTGCAGCGACTTTTGTAAAAAATGGCGGCCACTTTGATCGCTCGGCGGTTTGTCTACGGCACCGCGTACATCGTGATTGTTACGCCTCGTTCCTACCGTATCTTGTACCCGCGATGGCAACAGCGATGTAACGACAACGACAATCTCGTTAAAAGTTACGGAACACAGACGATAGCGACTACGCACGCCTGTTTCGCGCCTCTGCAACGGCTTCACGCCGTCGCGTCGCGACAAAGAAAGATGGACGTGCATTTGTCAAGCGACTCGGATCTCGCATCGAACTCGAGCGCGACGCGGAGATTGCATTCCCGGGCGCGGCGCGCGCGTTCGGCCGTTCCGCTTTCGCGTAATACATTGTATACATAAATCAAGACATACCTTACCGCGTACATTTTCACGATGCGGCTACCGTGCGCTCGCCGGCCTTCAACAAAGGCTCCCTCGCGCGCGCGAAGAAGGCGCTCCCGTCGCGAGGCGCTTCCTCTTGCCGTCTCTCACGAGGCGGATAATGACTCGCCTCGCCGTCCGCGCTCGTCTACAGCTTCATTTAGCGAGCAGCAGAAAGTGACGAATCGTCGGCGGAGTCAACGAGATAGATCGAAAGGTGGCTGTGTAACGGCCTGTAAGAACGGGAAGCCACGGGAAACCTCGTTCGCGGCCTCGACCCGTACAAAAGTTCGTTGAGGTTGTTCATGCGGCCGAGCCGGCCCGAAGACGGCCGAGGCGGGCCGAGCGCCGTACGCTCTCCGCGGCGTGAGCCGCGAGGTCCCCCGACGAGACTCGAGTCTCGCCGAGCCGCGCCGTAAACGACCGATCTCGCTGCCGCGGACCAAACAACCCGCCCAGTCAGTCCCTCACGGTAAACCGGCTCGTTCGGTTCTTTCGCGTCGTTCGTTCTCGCCGCGCGCGCGCGCGCGTCCCTCTCTCTCCCTCTTCGCCTCTGGCCTAGCCTCGTCACGGAGCGCTTCTGATCCTCGCGCCTCGGATTCCGAAGCCAACAACGGCCGGCGCGCGCCGCGCTCTCGGCAGTAGTAGTAGTAGTGATCTTCTTCGAGTGGCGGCGAGAGATCGTGCGAGCGGCCGTGCGCGTACGGCGATTCAGTGCGATCGATAAGTTGGTTTGACAAGCGCACGAGACCGGGCCCGCCGCGCCGCCGTGAGCCGCCATACAGCTGCCGTCTCTCTCCTGCGCTCGCCGCATTTTCGTCTCTCGGATTCTCTCCCGGTGCCCCTGCCTTGTGTGGATATTACTCGACGCAGGATAACATATCTCGCAAGTAAGTCACTCTCACGTCTCACGCTGCGGACTCGCAGCGTAGCGAGCGAGCGAACTAGCTAGCTAGCTAGCTAAGAAGGAAGCGGACGAACGCTCCGGAAAGAGATCGTAACGCGCGCTACGTAATTCGACTTATTGTTAGCGCTGCTCTCCGCGTCTCCGTCTTCGTCTCCGTGACCCAAATCCACTTTTAATTCGATGCTTCGCGGCGGATCCCGTACAGTACAGTCGCGTGTACCCGTCGCTCTCGGCCTCCTCCGTGAGAAGCTACGCGCGATCCTGCCAGCCTGACAATGTAACGCGCGGCTATTGTGACGAGGGTGGTCTCTCGTCGTCGTCGTCGTCGCGGTAACGGGCCGCGCTCGGCCGACAAAAGTGTAAGAGACGTCGTAATCTATGGAATGCTCGTTAGAGACATTTCTCAAAGGCCTCTACGGATCCTGTGTATTGTTTGTGTGAGCGAACGTGCGATTCGTCTTCGACCAATAGCCGCTCGCTGACCGTTATTTTCGAGAGAGAGAGAGAGAGAGAGAGAGAGAGAGAGGGCATAGGTAGATTTAGCGAGCTGGCTGATCGCGCGACGGCCGATAGCGGTGCGAGGCGTCGCAAGACGCCATCTCATTTCAGCCGATTACTCAAAGAGGATTGTCGAAGGATTCAAAGTCGACGGAGAGAGAGAGAGGGGTCAGTCTCGTGTGTTCGAGAGACTTCCCCGATCAGAGTTGTACTTTGTCTCACTCCAACGTGCGTCGTGCACCAGGTGCACTCTGCTTGACAAGTCGCTCGACGACAAGCGGACCGCCGCGCCGGAGAATCGCCGATTCGAGAAGCAGCGGGGGGAGGGGGGCAGGGGGAGCCCGACAATTCCAATTCCGTGGCGATCTCACGAGTGCACTCTGCGCGCTCTCGGCCGTTTCCTCGCTCTCGCTGTCCGACTTGCTTGCTGCGCGCAAATCCGATTTGAAGCAGACACGATCGAGTGGCATCCCCGGTGCCGACGGAGGAGTCGCTTCTAATCGCGGCGATCCGCACCGAATCGCACCAGAGCGGCCTCCGGGAGTCAACTGAGAGTGACTGACCGATTTGTAACCTTCCTCCCTTTATCTCCGGATTATTAGCGACAACAGAAGCTCGCTCGGACAGATCTCGCAAGCGTCGACGCGGGCAGAAGAGTCGTCGTCGTTATCGTCGTCGCCGTCGCCGTCGCCGTCGTCGCCGCGGATGCGCCGATGCGGCTCCGCTGGTGCAAATGCCCCTTTGTCGTCGACGACTCGCGGCCGTCGGTCGGCCGGGTCATCGGAGATCGATAGGCGGCTGGTGCTGCGTAGCAGCTGATAATTAACGATCCGCTCGCTCTCCGTCTCGCGCGCGCGGAAACGCGCGCGTCTCCATTAGCGCGCCGCCGCCGTCGTCGTCGTCCTCTGCGTTTCGCGTGTTACCTCGCCGGGTTACATAATAGGCTCCGTTAAATCGCAGCCGATTTATAACGGAGCGAGGCAAGCACGCGCGCGAGATCGCCCGCTCGTCACGCACGGCCCCTCACGCACGTGTCTCTTTCGGAATAATAACGCGGATTTGTGTTACACGCATACACACATATACACACGCACACACAGATAACGCGTTATCAGCGCGAGAGATCTCGCCGAGACGGTCTCTAACGAGACCGTCTGATTTATTCAATCTGTTTTCCCGGCCGACGAGATAAGAGGGAGATGTCTCTTTTGGGCTCCCGCTTGACGGCTTGATTAAAAAGAAAAACACGTGTCGACTCGCGAGCGTCGCGCGTCGGAATTTAAGGAGCGCGAGGATTATCACCTCGTCATCCGGAGAGCGTCGGAGCTCGCGCGGACCGCCCGGATGCGTGATTCGCGCTCTCTTGTCGTTCTCATCGAGAACACCGCGCCGAGGTGCTTCTCGAGTATCAGCGTCTTTTTGTTTTTTTTTTTTTTTTTTTGCCATTGTTGCGGCGAGAAACGGCCGTCAAAGCGCCAAAGTCGTGGATACTCGACTCGGGCAAAACGGTCGTGCGATCGCGCGGTATTTTCCCGCCCGAGACTCGGCGGGGACCCGAGAAGAATTGGCGCTGTTGCGACAGTCGCCGGATTGTTGTGACATGAGCATCGCTAATTCCAGCCCTCCTCCTCGGCCCCTACTCCCCTCGTCCGTTGGAATTCGCGGGGCGATTTTGCGAGCCGCCGTCCTTCCCGCGGCTGTCCAACGGCACGTAGCTTATCGATCAGTCGGTGAAAGTGACGCTTTAGCGTTCGATACAAATTTAGAAAGCCGGCTGTGCCATCCGCGTCCCGATGCAAATAGCGCTTCCTCGCGATTTAACGTTAGAATTTAGAGCTTCGCTCCAACACACTCGGTAGATATGCATCGGAGACTTTCACGTCGAGGAACACGCGCGCGAACACGTCGGAGACGGACGGACGGGGTCTTTCTCTCTCTCTCACAACCGCGTGTCGCTCAGGTTTTCGCGAGAGTCGTTGCTTCGACTTCGACGTCTTAACCCTGGCTAACTAACCTTTCGTAAACATGATGATCGCGACATTTGTTCACCCAATGAAAAGTAATTTCAGACCAAGCGGAATCATCAAAATTTTCGAGGATTTTATTCTCACACATGACTTCATGAGAATTTCTCTCTAAGGTTAAGAGGAAAATATTATAAACACATTGTTCTTAAAGTTAGAGGGATTATATAAGAGGAAAATTAATCGATATAAGGAGGAATCCTCTTGAAATGAGAGGAAAATAGTTAGAATAATATTCAATAAGTTTCAGATGAATGGTTCACCTCAATCGTTTTATCGAAAGAGAAATCCTTCTTCTGTGAAAGGCTTCGCTTGAAATATGAGACTATGGGAAAAATCACTTTACAAATGGAATACCTTTTTTGGGTGTTCCAAATGTTTCAATCAATCAATTCAAATAGGAAGCGTAACTTCAAATAAGATTATTATAAATTAAAATACAAACTCCATAAATATATATATTTAAATAAATATTTAACATCTAAATGGTTTTTATCGCTGACAAACATAAATATTTTATATCTAAAATATAAATTTTTGGCATAAAAATTAAAAGATAAATTTTATTTTATCTTTCCTGCTTCCGATTAGTCTTATTGCTCTCACAGATCTTAAAAAAAATTCAATTTATCCTCAAGATAAAATATTTTTGTCAAATTAAAGAAGTTCAATCCGAGTTTTTCATCGACGTCGTCATTTCCGCGAATGTTCAGTAATAACGTGGCTCACAAACAGCTAGTTATTTAGAGTTGAACGTTCGGTTCTATCACGACATCTCAATCGAGTGTATTACACCTAACCTAACATCGCGCGGACGACTGACTGCTCTCTCTCTCTCTCTCCCTTTCTCTCTAATGGAGAATCGATTACGTCGTGTGCACATTTTTATGTGTCGTATTGAATTTCCTGCCGGTCGACGCATTCGACGGCGAAGAAACTGCGTCTGCGACTCTTCTCGCGGCAGCAGCCTCTGCTTGGAGAATCTGCCTGGTGGGGAAAAAACGAACGACTCGTTTTTAACGAGCGCCGAGTAATCGACGTGATTTGCTCTACATAATGCGGAACGCGCAGATGGAGGAAACGCGTCGCTTCCCGTTCTTTATAACGTCCCGATACCGGAAACCTCTCCGACGAACGTAACGCGCGCGAGCGCTGGTTAGTGGAGGACGTGGAGGAGAGGAAGGACAGCCGCCGGTAGAAATCGATGATTTGCTTGGGCCGGTCGTTTGTCCGCTTTGATAGTCACGGAGGGAAGTAGTCGGCTGTCGCGCTTTCACGACCATTGTACTTTCTTCGGCGTCGGTTATCCCCGAGAACTTAATATCTTTACCTAACATTGTTGAAGTAGACCGCGGGAGGTCGATGCACGAGAATGACCGTAAAGAGACGTCCGCGAAATATTCCGCGGGGAGAACATTATCCAGAAAGAGAGAGAGAGAGAGAGAGGAAGAGCACTACGTCAGTTCGGATGACAGTCAGTCCGGAGTGACTTGTCGGTTTCCCGGACGGCGAAGATGTTAATGGACTCGATGCGGTCAGCAATTAGTTCTCCGGCGGCGAGTAGAATCCGCGTTCGCATCGAGGAGTAAATTACGCGATGCAAAAACAACAACGCGTCGTCGGATCGAGCCGAAACTTCGCAAAGGGTTTCTTCATTCGTCGGTCAAACGAAAGCGGGGCCTTGTCCTGCCTCGGCGATTAATCCTTTGCTACATAGCGGTCCTCGCAGAGTGCCACCTATCATCTCCAAGCTGGTTCCTGCAATAAGTTAAATTTTTCACATATTTCTTTAGCGTATTTGGTATTGTTGGACTACTGTTCCTCTAATTAATACGTCAACTTTTAGAGATCATTTCGAATAAGCAATTTGTTATCAACTAAGCATATACTGAACATAAAACTCGTTTTTAGAGAGTAAAGTCGTTTGCATGAAATTTTAAGTAACAACATATACTTGAAAATCATTATCTGAGGGTTTTTGAGCTCGCTGAATACAAATTCGGTGTGAGAAACACAAAATTAAAGATGGCGGACGGAATTTCCGAAATCAGCCGAATTTGCTTGAAACTTGTTACTTGGGGGTTTTTGAAGTCGCTGGATACGAATCCGGTGTGAAAAATACAAAATTCCAAATGACGGATCTCATATGGCGAACATAATTATAGAAATGAAACAAGTTGACTGCGCTTTTGAGAACCGGGCGAACTGACCGGTTATCAACCGAACTTTGCCGTATATACCCGTCATAACGGTATCGCGAATTTTCGATAACAAATTTGTAATTAGCAACCTCGAAAACCCTTAAATAACAAATCTCAAGCGAATTCAGCTGATTTCGAAAATGTCGTCCGCCATATTGGGCCCCCGGCCCCTTTGAATTTCGTATTTTTTCCACCAGATTTGTATTCAGCGACCCTACAAACCCCCGAGTAACAAGTTTCATAAAATTATATTCATTAGA